TGATAATCTGCGCGGCCTTGTTAAAAAGTTCCGCCGTTGTCGTCAAGGTGTCCCCGACGTGAGTCAGGGCATTGCTTAATGTCGGACAAGACCTTGAGATGAAATAGTGGCGGATGGCTAGTGGCGGATGGCTTTGAAGCCCATGTGGATGTCTGGGACTGATGTCAAACGTTGGTACTCGGCAATCCAGTCGACACTCGGCAGCGTGCCTTGTTCGAAGACCATTAGCTTGTCCATTGCTTTGATCTCCGGTGGCTCTACTTGGAACCGTTTGTGCCACGCCGCCTTCAGATCATCCCAGCTGATCTTGGTATGCAAGTCTGCAGCTCCTACTCCGTACTTGGACAAGAGATTGTCCAACCATGCCTGGCACGCGCCCCCCGACCGGGAGTATAAGTACGCGTGGTGCTTGTGTTCTTTGACGTAGTGTAGCTGCAGCGTGAGCTCGAACTTGCGGAACCATGGAATCGGATCTGTCTTCGTCGAGTCGCAGAAGATCTGCTGCCCGTCAAACTTTGGAGCTGTCTCGCGCGGTTCCGAACTCGAGTTGTTGGCGTAGTACAGATCCGCTGCTCCAACTGTTGCGTTGCGGTCTGCTGTAACTGCACGCCGTCCTTGAGGGAGCCGATGACCATCTCCAATGCTTCGAGGCGATCGGAGGTGTTGGAAGAGCTGGCATCGGGGGCGGCGACAGGTTGCTGCTCCAGCTGCTGGAGGCGGCCGTGGACTTCAGTCAGTGCATCGTCGAGGCTGTGGATGTCCTCCTGCTGTGTAATGCATGTTGACAGGAGGTCCGTGAGATGGGAGAGGAGTAGAGCGATCTTATTTTCGCTATCCTCCATCTTGCCATTCTCAGCCTCGGCCCGCCAATCCGCTGCCATTGTGAGCGAAGTTTGCTCTCTGCTAAATATCTTCTCCCGCCGTTGAACTCGTTCTTCATCAGCAGCCTTTGCTGCTGCCTCGTCGTGCTGGCGCTGCTGTTCAAGTGCCAGCAGACGTGCCTGCTCGGCGTCCTCTGCCTTCTTCTTCGCTGCTGTTGCTGCGTCATCCGCCGGTCTCTTTGTTTCGGTACTCCAGGCCAGCATCCGGGCCTGATAGGCCTCATCTGTTTCCCCGGACCTCTGGTCCATACGGCTGTTTGTGAACGCAACAGCATAGACCAGGCCGGGGGCCTGCTGACGTGCTATTTCCTGTTCTTTCGGCTGACGTGGCCTGCTGACGTGGCAACTCACCAATGCCACCGCAGGGGATACCCGGAGACCGAGAGAGAAGGTAAGACCAAAGGTGGCAACAACATAGGTGGGGAGGGGTGGGTGGGATAATCGCCCAGATAACGCCCAGATAAGGAGCCACTAATCGAAAAAGAAAAGTTTGAACTTTGCGAAAAAATTTCGAGAAAAATAAAAAAATCCCGAGTTTTGCAAGTTCAGTAGGTCTCCCAACCTCCCTTGAAGTGCGAAATTATCAATGAGGATTTTTTTTTCCGAACTTCAGAGTGCAAATGGTTTATAGAACTGACTAACAGAATCCTAAAACTGCGAAAAAACTTTCCCGAAAAGAAATCAAATGTTCGGACTTACTCAGGTGAGAGTATTCGCAGTTTGGAAAATAATACCCGCAGGAGGGATTTCCCGTACCGTTTTCAAAAAAACGAATTTCAGAAAAAAAAAATATTCCGAATTTCCAAGTAACGGGAAATGCAACAGGAAATCGAAATTTTTCGAAAAGAAGGATATTCCGGATTTTGAACAACGAAATTTCAAATTTTCAGAAGAAAAACGAAAATGGAAATTTCAGATGTTGCGCTATTGCGATTTTCCACAATAGAAATAGCAAGAAAACAAAATCCAAGGGAAAAAAAAAAATAAATTGATTTTCGGCAGTAAGGTCAAGATCGTGATTTTGGGGGCTAACTAGTGTGCTCTAATCAATCTATCAAGGCTAATCCCCTCCCTAGTCCCCGCAAACGTGTCAGATCAGGTTGTCCTGATTCACGTGCGGTGCTCTGATACCAACTGTTACATGCCCAGTTGGGCGATGTACATATAAACCGAGGATCCGCAATGTGATAAAAAGGACTGAATGGACAATGCAGTGCAATTTGAATCTCAACAAGCAATGTGCATTCTGATACATACAAAATGGTGCGCAGTGGAAGATTTAGATACAAGTCCTGAACTGACTGGGACTGGCCTCTTTCACGTAATACGAGATAGCGAAGCAGGATGCTAGAATACTAATGACTAGCCCAATCAATCAACGCAGACCAAACATACATCATGCTCATCACAAGGTGTGAAGGGGCCTGGCGCTATACACAGGAAGGAAACGCCAGGTCCAGACATACACAGACGAAGAGGAGGGAATCAGACGAAGAAGAGGGGGAGAGATGGGAATGTCGTTAACACCAAGTCTTTGTCACAAGTCCCAAATAATCCCTCGTCGAAATGTCTGAAGCCCAAAAGTCGAGTCTGGATCCAATGTCACCAAGCTCTCTCTCTCTCTCTCTTCTCTCGTAGTCTGCCAATGCAGTGAAGTCAGATAATGAGAGGGTGAGAGGGAGATGGTGGACTGAGAAGAGGAAGAAGAAGAACTCTCTCTCTCTCTCACGAGCCAGGTACTAACCTGTGAAGTTGGCCCTGTGCTGCAGGTACCTCGAAGACGAAGCTGGAGCAACGGCGCTGCAGGTA